CTGTGGGCTGGGATCCCTGGTGAGGAGAGGTTTCTGAGAAGGCTTTCCCTGGGGTTCTTCAGGGCAGTTTCACGGGGGTGAAGGCAGCACCTTCTAGTGCTGCCATGATGAGTTCCCCCAGTTCCCCTCCGGGGGCAGGTCCCACTTACCCCACCTTCCCTTCCACAAGCTCATTGAGGACCAACTAGGGCCACCCCAACCCGAGATCGGCTCCATCTCTAAGAATGCTCTCAGAGGACTTCGCTCCCTCACACACCTGTGAGTGCTCCTCTGCCACCCCCATGACAAGTACCTCATGCTGCCCTCAAGGACGCGTTGTCCTCTGATTGCTACTAATCGTCCCTCACCTTCTCCTCCTCCCCCAGAAGCCTGGCCAATAACCACCTGGAGTCCCTCCCCAGATTCCTGTTCCGAGGCCTGGAGACCCTGACTCACGTGTGAGGCTTGGGGGACATGGTGGGAGGGACTTGGGAATGTCTGTAGGGAAGGGACATCTGTATCCACTTTGGTTGGCAGCATGAGCATGGCTGCAGCAACCCTTACATACTTTCACGCCTCCTGTAGGGCCCTGTCCTAGACCTTCACCTGGGGAGGGTGGGGAGCATGATCTCCAGGTGTTGGAAGCTGGGTCGCAGCCCCTTCCTGGCCTCTTGCCCCAGGGACCTCCGTGGGAACCCATTCCAGTGCGACTGCCGTGTCCTTTGGCTGCTACAGTGGATGCCCACCGTGAACGCCAGCGTGGGGACTGGGGCCTGTGCGGGTCCCCCAGCCCTGACCCACGTGCAGCTCCACCACCTCGACCCCATGACGTTCAAGTGCAGAACCATAGGTGGGGACTTTCCCCATGGGGGAGCGGGACAGCAGGGGGCCCCAGGAGAATGCTCTCAGCGGCCTGAGAGGTGGACCTCACTCCCTACCCTGCCATGTCCTGGCTGTGCGACCCTGAGCATGCCGCATCAGTGTCCTCATCCCAGTTTCCTCATCCAAAAAATGGGGAGAATAAACAGTGGCACAGGATTGCTGTGAGGATTCGGTGATGTGTCCTCGCCCACGCAGCACTGAATGCAGGGCCTCTTAGAAGGCCCTCAGAGCTCTTAGGAGTGTCATTCTTGTTGTTGTGAACATAAATCTGACCACTTAAAAAACCCCTTCGATGTGGTTCCTTTGCTTTTCCATGAATGTGTCTTGGTATCTTTTTAGGTACAGGGCAATGCAGAGCCCAGCAGTGATGACCACAGCCTGAGGTCTTCCAGAGAAGGCAGGCCACCCCAGGCAGTGACATCCAGAATGATTTCTCAGGGCCAGGATAGGGAAATGCAGGGCAGAGGTAGCCATGGGAGCTGAGAGAGACCAGAGCTAGGGCCAGGGCCACACGGAGCTGGAGGGTAGTACTGGCTTTTTCAAGAGGCGGACATTTGTGCTTCACCCTGAAGGGACTTTACACAGATGCTATTAACACAGTGACAACAATAGTAATTAGTTGTGTATAACACATGGGTTGGGTCTGTAGGACTCAAAGGACAAGGAGATTTAATTCAGGGTTCATTTTTGTCTTGTCTTTTAGTTTCAGTGCTGGGGATTCAGCCTAGGGCTTCCCATATGCCAGGCAAGAGCTCTACCACTGAGCCACACTCCCAGCCCAGGGGTCATTCTTTATTCAGTCATTCAACAAACATTCAGTGAGGTCCACTCTGTGCCCAGCCCTGTGAGAGGTGATGGGCACACTGTGGTTACCAGAAGCCCCGAGAGCTGACCTCATGGGACTTATAGTCCTGGGGAGTTGGAAAGTCAGACACTAAATAAAACAGGGCACAAATAAATGTGTACTACAAATCATGCTAATACTGTGAGTGATGAGGTAAATTAAGGGGGTTCCTTTTCTACATGGGGTGGGATCATTGGAGGCTTCTCTGGAGAGGGGACATTAGATCAGAATTTAGCTAAGTGAAAGGAGGGAGAGGCACTCCACAGAGACAAAACAGTGAGCAGTGCCCCCAAGGCAGCCTAGGGCTTGCCTAGGTGTGGCTGGGGTAGTGAGCAAAGGGAGGGATTTAGATGAAGGTGACAGGGCCTCACTGTGCAACACTTTGAAAGCCATAGAAAGGAGAGTTAATTCTGATGGTCAACAGAAGGCAGGGAAAAGTCTGAACAGGACGTGACAGTATTGGATGGGCTTTTTTTTTTTTTTTTTTTTTTTGGCAGAAGTGGGATTTGAACGCAGGGCCTCACGCTTGCTAGGTAGGCTCTTGAATCACTCCATCAACCCTGGGTGGGCATTTTTAAAAGATCCCCCTTTGGGTGGGTGTCCCTGGTGGTTTGGCTCATTGCTTCAACCTTAGCACCTAGGAACAGGGTCTGGCATACAGACCACGTCAGAGACAGAGCCTGGCTCCCTCAGTAACAACCAGGGCAGTTGCCATAAAAAGCTAAGCTGCTAACAAAGAGGTTCAAAATACTGTGAATTAAAGATGACAGACAGAAGGGGCTGAGGAGAGCTGCCCGCGTGGTGGGACAGCCCCTGGGTGCTGTCCTTGTTTTCGTGGATGAAGACAGGTTGTGACACACCCACGTGTCACTTCATGAGAAGGAGGGAAGAGGCGAAGTCCGGGACAAATGGTTTTCATCCTCCGTGAGCTTGGTCTTGACGTGAACATAAACTAACCTCCGGGGAGGATGAAGGTGAGGGGATGATGTGGCTTCTGGGACAGCAGCCTGGTGGCCAGCTCCAATCCTATTTCATGGACTCTGGGAAGGATGGATTTTGGCAGCCAGCTGGTGGCCTGAGCCACTTAGCCTCAGTTTCCTCAACTGTAGAGATCATATAAGAATGTACCCCTCCAGGGATGTGGTGAAGTTAAATGAAAAATTAAACACAAGGGACTGTTTGTTGATGCCACACGGCTTAGAAAACATGACTTAACACATCTATAGATAAAAAGATTCTATTCTAAAGCCAGGTGTAGTGACGCACACTTGTGGTCCCAGCTACTCAGGAGGCAGAGACAGGAGGATCACAGTTAGAGGCCAACCTGGGCAAAGTTAGCCTGAGACTCTGGAAACAAACTAAAAGCAAAAAGGACAGGGTTGTGGCTCAAGTGGTAGAGCGAACAAGTGTGAGGCCCCAGGTTCAATTCCCAACACTGCCTATGTCCCTATGAGATGAGGCCCTCATTTCAGAGGCATGGATCCTTGGGGTCCCCTGGGCCGGCCTGACTCTCTCCTCCTGCCTCCTGTAGAGCTGTCCTCCTTCCAGACGGTGGGGGAGTCGGCGCTGAGCGTGGAGCCCTTCTCCTACCAGGGGGAGCCCCATGTCATCCTGGCACAGCCCTTTGCAGGCCGCTGCCTCATCCTGTCCTGGGACTATGGCCTCCAGCGCTTCCGGCCAGAGGAAGAGCTGTCGGGTAAGCCCCCCTCCGTTGTCTTCTGCCTTGTCCCCAGCCTGCCCTGTCCCCTGGCCTGACTGTGCCTGCTCCCCACAGCGCCCTCGGTGGTGTCCTGCAAGCCTCTGGTGCTGGGCCCAAGCCTGTTCGTGCTGGCCGCCCGCCTGTGGGGTGGCTCCCAGCTGTGGGCCCGGCCCAGCCCCGAGCTGCGCCTGGCCCCCATTCAGGCCCTGGCCCCAGGCCGGCTGCTGCGGCCCAATGACGCCGAGCAGCTGTGGCTGGACGGGCAGCCCTGCTTCGTGGTGGCCGACGCCTCCAAGGCGGGCAGCACCACACTGCTGTGCCGCGATGGGCCGGGCTTCTACCCACGCCAGAGCCTGCACGCCTGGCACCGCGACACTGACGCCGAGGCCCTGGAGCTGGATGGCCGCCCCCATCTGCTGCTGGCCTCGGCCTCCCAGCGGCCAGTGCTCTTCCACTGGTTTGGAGGCCGCTTCGAGAGGCGCACGGACATCCCCGAGGCGGAGGACGTCTATGCCACACGTCACTTCCAGGCGGGTGGGGATGTGTTCCTGTGCCTGACCCGCTACATCGGGGACTCCATGGTGAGCCAGGGCCCAGGCAGGTGGGGCAGCTGACCCCCACTAAGGCCTGGCTGTTCAGCACTGACACCCAACCTCCCCCATCCTCCATCCCCGTGTTTCAGCACTGACTTCACTGTGTACACCAGCCTCTAAACTCTGACCTGGGCCACTGTGCTGCCCTTTGAACTTTGACTCAACGGCAGCAATGACTAACACTGTGACCCCTCAAGGCTGGCTAACCCTAAACCACTGTCCCCAAGTTTCTGACTCTACTCCTCAAACTCTGGCTGTGCAACTCTGACACATTCCAGGATGACATTTAACCACAGCCATGCCCCCTCCCCACCCCAACACTGCATCCCCAGGACTGACACTGGTGCTAGGCCCTGCCTACCCCATCCAGCACTCTGTCCAGTGCCAGGAGCAGCCAGAAAAGGGTCTCCACCTAGAAAGGCCCCACTCCAACACTGCTCTTAACAGGGCCTCTGGTAGGAAGCAGACTGGGGACAGGGATGGGAGCCAGGGACCAGAGAGGTGGCTGGAAAGAGTGGAGGCTGGGCCAGAGGAGATGGTAGAAATGTGTAACGTTGTAGGTAAAATGGACATATTCCATCGCTGAGCCATTCTGCATTGGGTGGGAGGGAAAGCAGAAAGGTCAAGAACAACTCTGAGCATGGTGTGGTGGTGTATGCCTGTAATCCCAGTACTTCGTAGGCTGAGGCGGGAGGATCACAGTTCAAGGCCAGCCTGGGCCACATAGTGAGATCCTGTCTCAAAACAACAACAGAACACCTCTGAGTTTGTGCCTTGAGAAGCTGAATGGTGACATTTGGGGACGTAAGGGCCTGTGTCCAAATTGTTCCAAATCCTCCAGAGCCTCTAGGATGACAGGCAAGGCCAGGCCCTAACCAGTCACCCCACCCCACCTGACCCCACAGCTCATGCGCTGGGATGGCTCCATGTTCCGCCTGCTACAGCAACTTCCCTCCCGCGGTGCCCACGTCTTCCAGCCGCTGCTCATCGCCAAGGACCAGCTGGCCATCCTGGGCAGCGACTTCGCCTTCAGCCAAGTCTTCCGCCTTGAGCCTGACAAGGGGCTTCTGGAGCCACTGCAGGAGCTGGGGCCCCCTGCCTTGGTGGCGCCCCGTGCTTTTGCCCACGTCACCTTAGCTGGCAGGCGCTTTCTATTTGCAGCTTGCTTCAAGGGCCCTACACAGATCTACCAGCATCATGAGTTGGATCTCAGTGCCTGAGACTGGACATGGCTGGGAGGCTGGCAAGGGGACCCGGAGGCATCTGGATGCCCTCTTGGCTGGCCTCCTGTCCCCATCTGAGGCATGGCCAGTCCTGTGAGATACAGACCACAGGTCAAGTTTATCAGCCACAGTTCCAGACCTTAGCCAGCCTCTTGGAGGATCTGCACCCGCTGGGGAAATGGCAAGTCCCAGGCCATTGCAACTTCGGAGCTGTCTCTAGTCAGAAGCCGCGTCTTGTCTGGGGGCAGATCCCACAGAAGGCGACTTGGGAGCTCATCTGCGGCACTGCATGGAGCCAGAATACAGAAGTTTAGGTGGGGGGAATGTGCAGAGCTCTGGAAGCTCCCGGCTGGAAGTACGTCTATCCCTGCTGCTCCCTGTGAAAGCACAGAGGGAAAGACTTCCTTTCTCCGCGTACACAGTTTGGCCAATGGATTTCACGGAAGAGCGAGCGCCTTCGTGACGTCACTGTTGCTGAGCAGTTTTTCCTGCGGGACCTGGTAATTCCCTCTGCTGCTTGTGCGCATGTCTGCGGCCAAAGGCCGTTGCCCGGCGTTTCTTCCCTCTTGCGCGTGCGCAGGAGGAGGGGCTGGGAAGGGAGAGTTGTCGCGGGAAGTCCTGGGTACCCTCCCCAAAAAGGGACAAGGACGGACCGTGTATGAGTTCAATAAATGCGCTGCGCACTGCCTCGCCCGTTGTCGTAGATCTGGGAGAGGGAGTCTCGTGAATGGCTTGGGGAGGGGATCGTCCCTGGAGTCACGTATGGAGGGAGATTGCAGCCAGGCATCTTGGCAGCTCCTGTGGGCCACCTGGGGCCACTGAGTGTGAGCTTGTGAGGGGCTTCTGGGATGCTCGAGGGACCGAAGGCACGGGTGGGGGGACAGGTCTCTTTTTTGAGGTCATGTCTGTCACCAGGCATTGTTGGATTTTTTTTTTTTTTGTATGTCTTTAAAGGGTGTTAGGCAGTTTATGGGGTGGTTCATGGGAACATTTTGGATGACTTATTGGGTATCCCGGAGTCTCAAAGTCAGACTCAGGTAGCCATTGTGTACTATTAGGGGTGTAGTGGGGAATTGTTTCAAGGATCCATAGGGTTATCTGTTTAGAAAGGTCTCATAACATACTGAGGCCTTAGGGGTGAAGGAAAGGTCGGAAGGGGTCCTAAACTATCTGAATACTCTTGCCTTGGTGGGTGATCTGTATCCTTGTTTTCCTGGGGTGGTCTCAGTGTCTGTCTGAGTGCCCCAGCATTCTATCTGACAAGGGCTCTCTTTCACTTTCAAAAGTGTCCCCCAGGATTGGAGGTGTGGCTCAAGTGGTAGAGCACCTGCTTTGCAAGCTAGAAGCCTTGAGTTCAAACCCCAGTCCCCTCCCAATAAAAGTGTTCCCAGGACTCTTAAATTGCATGAGGCTCCCGTGGCTGTGGAGGCAGAAAGCAGGCCCTGTAGCTTCCACCAAGCCACGAGAGGCAGACTTTAGGCTTTGCACAACCAAGAGACTCAGCCATCAGCCTCAGGACATGACGGTCTCCTCCTGGTCCCAACCCCACCCCAGCGCACACATGGAGTCTGGAGGCTGCCTGGGCAGAAGGCAAGATTATTTTGATTAACAAATGAACAGAGAGGTGCAATGAGGCCCTGGTAAGGCAGTTTGAGGAGAGGAAGGGCTGTGCCATCCTGGAGTTCAGGCTGCTGGGCAGAGCCAGGACCTGGGGACAATGGCCCTCCAGGCTTTTTCAGTAGTCGGTCCATCCTCAGCAGTTGTTGGCAGAGCCTGGGAGAGATGGGGTCAGCTTGTGAGGGCGGATCAAGTTCTTTCTCTGCAGTGGGTGCATGACACACGTACACCCAACCCTCACTCCCACGCTGTCCCTGTCTTACCTGGTGTGATGAGGGGTGGGACATCTACTGGACGGTGACTAGGAAAATAAAAGTGGTGAGATCCACATCCACCCCCGATTTTCCTTCCCCCTCCCCCAGGGCTAGAGGATTCTTGGCTTGCCCAGATGTGGCTTCCTGGCTACTTTTCCATTGTGGGTTTGTACAGGGCTGGGGACAAAGCATTTCAGGATTTGAAGGCCCTCTGGGAATTCTTAGCTATTAATAGTAAACCTGGGAAATCTCAGTGACTGAGCAGGGAGGCCTGTCCTCTCTCCTGAAAAGTGTTTTCTGTCTGAGGTTGCCACGTGGGAAGTCACATTACCTGGGCTTCTGGCTGAATCTGCATTTGCATTTTCCACCTGTTGGAGTGGGGTCGGGGGTGGTCAGGGGAGAGGACCCACAGCCTGCCCCACCCGCTACCCTCCCCGCCAGCTCTTGCACTCACTCATGAGGACAATGATGCCCACAGCACACAGAACCCCTGCACAGATGAGTCCGCCCACTCGGAGGCTGTGCCAGTCTGGGAGAAGAACAGAGGGAATATCAGGGCCAGCCCAGGTCCTCTCCTCCATAGCCCCAACCCCCTTGGCAAATATGTCCTAAGCACCTACAATGTGCAGGGTACTGGGGACACAGCAATGACAGCAGACCAAACCCCCGCCCCACTGGTGCACACGTTCTAGTTAACACCCAAGCAAACAAGGTATTTCATGTCCGGTCAGGTGGAGATAAGCGATCAGAAGGAAAACAGTGCAGGGGAGAGAAAGTCTTGCAGCTTTTTAGAGAGAGAATCTGAAAGGACTCCCTGAGGAGGCCACCTTTGAGCATAGGTCTGCAGGAGGTGAAGAGAGAAAGTACTCCAGGTAGAAGAGTCAGCAAGTACAAAGGTCCTGAGGCTGGCAGGTGTCTGCTGTGTCTGAGGACCAGCAGGAGGCCATTGTGGCTGCTGCAGGAGTGACAGATAGTGGAGGGGGTGAGGCAAGGGGGAGCCAGTAGGTGGAATCTGGAAACACAATGAGGATTTGCATAGAGTCAGTCACCTCTACCAGGAAGTTTTCTCTTGGCTGCCTTTCTCCCAGCGGCTTCTTAGATGGACTACCTCACATCCTACATGTGTCTATCTGGAATCTTCCCCAGGGACAGGTTGCCATCTCTGGTCCTTTAATCCACTGCATACCCCAGTCCTAACCTCTTCCTGGCCCCTCTGGCAACTCTGACCCCAGGCAACCTTGTATGGGACTCTAGACTTAAAATAGTATGTGGCATTGAGAGGAGGCAAGTTGGGAGGGGGGGAGTCACAAGCTCTCACCGTAGTAGAAAGGACTGTTTTTATCTGCAAGAAAAGAAAAAAGAAGCATGAATCCAGGATAGCAGTGGGTGTCAGGGGTTCCAAGGAGAACTGGAGGGAGGGGTGACCATTCTGACTCACCTTCAGGGTCGTTGGCACCCAGGACAGGCAGGCCTAGTGAAACAAGCAGGAAGGAGGGAAGATGGTGATGGTGACCTTAGCAGAGCCCTTGGTAGGTCCCATGGAGCCTCAGGGGCCTCTGGAGAGTGTCCCCTGGGAGGGCAAATGCCACCATCATGGAGATATGGACTTGCCCAACCCACCTCACACCTGAGAGTCATGGCAGCATTTTGCTACCTGAAGTGGTAGTGTCTACTCTGAGTGGATATGGGCCACCATTTGGTTGTATGTTTCCATGCTGATCCAGGCCTCCTGCAGAGATGGGGGACTTTTTTGTCAAGATGACAGATAGCTGCAGTTCCAGGGCCCTGTTTCTCACAGCTAGGCTGTGTGCTCACAGACCACCTTTCCAATTCCACCACATCCACACCCCAACTGTTCTTGTGTCTGTTCCCTAGTCCCCTTCAAAATGACTCACGGTCCTCAACTTACACACTTTCTATAAAATAGAACTTTGCATCCCGCTCCAAATGCAATGTCATTCTTGCCCAATGCAACAACTGAGAAAGAAATGCTGTGACAGCAGGGCAGTGAGCCACCTCAGCTCTGGTCCTAAACGATGCAAAGGGAGATTAATAATTTTTAATCATATTTAAAGCACAAACACATAGTGTCTGTCCCAGGCACGTCACATTTGTCAAATATTAACTCCTTTAATCCTTGCAATGATTGAGTGGGGGGTGTTCTTCTTGGTTTTACAGATGGGGAAACTGAGGCATGAAGTATTCTGGGCACTTGCTACACCACCTCTAGGCTCCAAGTGCAAGGTACCATCTTGGAAGAAAGTGTTAAGGAGGTTTTAAAGACAGAGTAGCACTGGGCTGAGCCTTCCAGATGGCCTCAGATTTACAAAAGATTGGGAGAGATGCTTTCTGGCTGTGGGAACCACTGCCATGAGAGGCCCTGTCTTTGTGTGTGCCTTGAAATCAAGCCTTCTACCCTTAAGGAGATGCTGTCCCTAACAGTTACTACCCCACAGGGGGGACACGCACACACGCACACACGCACACACTTGGCACCACCCACCTGGGTGGCTAGGGCAAACAGTATTTAGGGGCCAGGCACTCACCTGCCAGCAGGATGAGCAGACTCAGGGCCATATCTTGCATGTCACAGCTGACCTAGGGGAGCCTAGACAGCAGGTCCAAACTTAGAAGGGCTGAGAGGATAGCAGGCTCTGTGCCTCTGGGTCCCACCACTGTCATCCTGCTCCCCACCCAGGGTCCGCACATTGAGCCTCGAGCCTCACTGGGCTGAGAGATAAGAAGAAGCCCCAATGTCAAATGGAAGGCTGGGAGAAACCCTCCCTCGGGTCAAATGGAGGCCCGATGAGGGAGCAGCTGGCACAACTCCCTAGGGAGGGGCTTCCAGCTTTAAGTGAGTAGCTTGGGCAGTGAAAAGGAGGGAGGCACTGCCCACTGTTGTCCCCATCTTACAGATGGGGAAGCTGAGGCTCTGCGAGATGAAGGCTGGTGTTCAAGGTCACTTGGCCAGAAAGCAGGTTTTAAACCAGGCCTGGCTTCTTAGTAGTGTCTGTTCCTAACTCAGGACTGTCAGGGCCTCGGGGTGTTTTGGGAAACAGGGTGCTAGGAGCCAGGTGGCAGGAGGCCCGGGTTCTGGGGAGTGTCTCCAGAGACAGCTTGGAGCCTGCCCGGCTCTGCCCACACTTTGCAGACTTCTGGATGGGGCCTGAGTTGACTCCTCAGGGTGCTGGGCAGGGTGTAGGAGGGAGATAACGCCAGGCTGGGGTGCAGGGTAGGGGCTGGGGGTCTTGGCTGCAGCCACCCTGCCCCTGCCCCCTCAGCCAACACCGAGGCCCGTCCCCTGTCCAGCCTGAGCCCAGCCTTTGTCCCCCCATCCCAGTCCTAACCCCCAACTCAGCCTTACCCATGGCCCTGGCCCCCAGCCTCTGTGCTCCCTTCCACTCCAGCCCTGGGCCCCTCCCTAGGCTCCTCCTGGCAGCAAAGCTTCCTCTTCTCCAGGTGGGCCTGCCCAGAACCAATGGCACCTTCTCCTCTCTCTAGTCCTCCCGCCCCTGGTCTCTGCACCCATGCTCTCCAACTTGTGCCACACGCACATGCTGTCTTTCTTGGCCCAGAAAGAGTTGACTCCTGTGCCAGACACTGCCTGGTGACCTTGCTGTGTTCCCACTCTTTCCTTCAGTCCCCGGCAGCCCTAAGGTAGCTCCACTTCCCTGACGGCAAAGCACATGCTCGAAGAGGATGTGACACTGCCTGCTGCCAGCAGGTCATGGCGCAGGGGCGTCCTGCAGGTTGGTGGCACACACTCCTCCAGCTCCACCACCTGTTAATCCCAGACACTGGGCTTAAAATTTCAGCCTGAACCTTCATTTCTTTCAGAAAGGGCGGCTGCAGCTGTGCAGACCCTAGGAAGTTTCAGGGAGACCGGAGTCTAATGGTTCGGGATGCAGGTGTGCAGATGGGCGGCCTGTTGTCTGAAGCTGCCCCAGAGGCTCTGCCGCCATCAAGGTGCAGAGATAAGCAGAAATGTTGAGGCTTGGCGCGTGCTCTCCCCGGGGCACCATTCTCAGCAATCCTCATGTCACCTTCTCAGCTTGAACTTGGCAGTAGCATTATCCCACATTTTTGTCACAACCCTGTCACCTCTGTGAATTTTGCTGGTGCCATATGCTCTGTCACCATGTGACTTTTGGGTCTTGCCTCTAAGCCTCTCTCCATGGCTCCTCCAAGCCACCCAAGCCTGCAAGATGCACTACCGACCCAGTGGGGTGGGTGGATGTCTCAGGGTTGCCCCGGCCTCTGCACACAGTCTCACAAGTGCTTCCGGAGTCTCCAGGAGGCTGGGAGCGGGGTGTCAGCTCATCCACCCTGCCCCATCAAGCTGTTTTTCTGAATAACCCTTGCCGGCTTCCAAACTGACCTTAGCTGAGGGAAGGCTTGGAGAGGGACAGCCCTGGCACTGGTTGCTCTCTGTCCCCCACACCTGCTCCTTACTCGCTGTGGAGGTCCAAACACTGGCCTGAGGACTGCTTCTGCCGGCTGCTCTCTGCTCTCCCCTCTCCTCCTCCAAGACGGTTTAGAACAGCTACATCATCAGGGTCATTCAGAATGACCCCCGTGTCCCCCCAAATCTCCTAACCAATCCCCCATTCAATAGCTTCCCCAGGCAGCATCCCCCTTTCCTAACAGTCTCCAGGACCCATATAATCCCATTCCTAGCACCCCGAATCCACTCAGCCACGCCACATCCTATCCATACCCAGCACACAAAATACCTCAATCCACCCCAACAGATACCCAAACCCATCCAAACACCCCCTCCCCACTTCCATCTCCCAGATGCCCCCTAATCCAGACTCTTCTGGTCCACTCAGACACCTCCTGTTCACCCCGACACCACCAGTCTTTCCAGGCACCTCAGTCCTACACTCACCCCACAAGTCCCTGAGAGGAAGGTGGTAGGAGAAGGCTCACCATCTTTTTACTCCAGAAAAGAACCTTGAAGGCAGAAGATTCTAGGGTTTCTAACAGCAGGTGGGGGGGGGGACAGTCAGGGAGAGTTCTGGGGCAGAGCCAAGGGGGGCTTTGAGGAAGGGGCCCTGGCAGCTCACCTGTGGGGCTCACCAGGCTGAGCAGAGGTTTCGGGAGAAAGCGGGCTTCTAAACCTGAGTCCTGCCTTTATCCACAGCTGCCGCGCCCTGAGCAAACCTGGGCAGGTAGAGAACAGGTCAGCCTCCCTAAGGCTCAGGGCCTCCCCCACCCCATTCCTCTCTTAAAGGGACAGTTTCTCCCCTCCCCAGCCACAGTGGCAGGAGGCTCTCTAGGGTCACCAAAGCCAGGGCAGCTTCGGGTGAGGTAGTGGCAGAGCCAGAAGAGCTGGAACTTGGCTCCTCAAAGGCGACAGGCTTCCTCCAGTCTCCTGAAGGAGACCTCGACCTGGAAGGAGCAAGGCTCTGGGGTCTTCAAGGGCGGTACATAGGCCTGGTACACATCGGAAGTGACACACCCATGGAATGACCTAACTTCTTTGACTTTTATTGTGGTTTGGCTTGGGGGAGGGATTGCTGGCATTCATGGGGAATTTGAAATACCCTCCCAGTCCACCTCTCTCTCTCTGTTGATATGGTGTAAGGGTCAGTAGAGGATGTGATAAGACCACACTGTGAAGAAACCCCTGGAACAGCCAGTAGGGCTGGGTGGGAGCTGGGAACACTTACACCAGGCTGAACCCACCCCCTCACTCTGCTCTGGGAGACTGAGAACAGCTTCCAAGCACCAAGTCAGAACCCCCAGCCATGCTCCCAAGGGTGCTGGGAACCCATGCCTCCACTATAGTGTGGGCTGAGTGGGCGTTGGGATGGGGGCTGCCTCCCACTCCAGATAAGCCCCCTGCATGGGGCGAGGTTCCTCCATCCGTCCTCCCTCTGCATCCCTCCTCCCTCTCCCACCCCCTCTTCACAGCATTCCTTCCGGCTAGGGTCTGTACTGGCCCCCACATGGTCCCTGTTGGGGGTGCCCCCTCCCCGCAATTCCGCCTTCATAGACAGAAGGACTTTTGTCCGGGGGCTGGATGGAGAACAAGGCACCATTGAGTGGCTGGCAGAGGATTGGGGTCACGGGGAGGAGCAGGACCAGGGAAGGGGTGGCTCTGTGCTGGCCACCAGCTGGACTCCAGACGACCCCCAACATCACCGTGGGGGTGGGGAGGTGGCCACAGGCACCAGGCCAAGGAGAGGGTGCTGTCAGGAGTGTGGAGAGCTGGACAGGAGAAGGGGGTTCAGGTGAAGTTAAAGCTCTTCTTGGGACGGGGGAGGCAGGGAGGGTCCCACTTCTCATCGGTGAAGGGGTGCAGAGGCAGAGAGGGCTTGCCCAGTTTCCAGCTTTCTGTTATGTGCTTCCTTCTGGCAATTTCTCAGTTCTAGCCCAAGACTAGGACAGGGCCTCCTGCCACCCTATTAAAAGGAGCAAGTCCCTCCAAGGAGAGGGGGCACTCAGGGTGGCCACTCCAAGCTAGAGGCGCAGGGGAGATCAGAACACAGGAAGGAGAGGCCCCAGGAGGGTGGGCGAGGGGTGGGATGGGGAGGATCGCAAGCCAAGGCTGGGGTCTTTGTGGCTGGTCAGAGCTTCAAACTTGAGTGTTGCTGGGAAGACCCTCTGGTGGTCTTGGGAGTGGGGTGGTGTCTCCCTCTGCTGGAAAGCCTAGGAACTGTGGGGGCAGGTGGCGACTTGTGCGCCGTTGCTGGGAAGGGGGTGCTCAGTCCTTCATTCCTACCCTCTTCCATGACAAGACCCAGACAAAAGTCATGAATGAGTGAAGTAGGACAGGTGTGAGCCCATCAGGCATGGTGGCAGCTGGGTTAATGAGGACAAACCCAGTGGAACAGGCAATCCTCTGCCTTCACTTCCTGAGTAGCTGGTATTACAGCTATGTCACACCACACCAGGCCCCTACAGCACACATTTTTATGATGAAATGTCTAGACTTTTAAATGTTGGTAGCTGACTTTAATGTTTTTGTTTTTGTTTTTTAAGTACTTTAGAGACAAAATGAAATATGTCCTGTGGTTGGATATAGCCCTGGGCCACCAGTTTGAGTGCTTCCCTTCCCAATTGAGGAGCAGGCAAATTGGGTCCAGAGTCCTTGCCCCATTGTCACCCACTCCAGTTCCCTTGGCCTGGACTTCTCCCCCCACCTCCCAACTCTGCTCAGCTCATTGCTTCACCTTCTGCATGTCCTGACTCAAAGGCTGCCTCCCACCAGGGGCTGGTGGCTTCCGCCTGTAATCCTAGCTACTCTGGAGGTAGAGATCAAGAGGATCATGGTTCGAAGCCAGTCCAGGCAAATAGTTCGAGAGACCCTATCTCAAAAAAACAAAAAAAACAAAAAAACAAAACAAAACAAAAACAAAACCCATCACAGGAAAAGGGCTGGTGGAGTGGCTCAAGATGTAGGCCCTGAGTTCAAAGCCCAGTACCACACACAAAAAAAGGGCCACTCCCCATGTGGGGTGCCCCACCCACCCAATCTAGAATCCCATCTGCCCACTGACCTTTCCATTCGCTGGGACCCACCAGCTCTCAGGTGGATCCCAGGCGGCTTCTCTTCTGTTTGGCTGATCTGCCTCCTT